GAGGAATCATCTCCAGTTCACTACTATTCCTTGCATTCTTAGGCAATCTATCAGATAAGCTAATTAATTCGTTAAGTATGTACAGAAAATAGGTTACGTCGGTCAGAAGATAAAAATTTAATCTGCTTTCCAATACAAGTTCCAAACGATCCTCCAGAGTTATCATGTATAAGTTGATTACCTTACCTTTCCCAAGTTGGATACAAACATGATTACTACGACTTAGACGAAAAAGTTTTAGCTCTGATTTTTATTCCTAAATTCCTGGACTTCTATTAATGTATTCGCCAAAATCACTCTATTCATGGTCTTTCATGACCTGTCAACCATATCCTGTAGCCTGAATAAATCCATAGCAATCAGTACTTTAGAAAAAGCTCTTTGCATTGAAGAAGTTATAAGCACAGACGTGAGTATGACTAATCCTCAAATCGAAAAATCAAAGCTTGGCACCGAACCATGTCTACCTTCCGAATCAACCACGCAAGCGGATTTCAAGCTGAATGGACACTATGCCGCCACGGTTCCACCCCCAGTTAGTTCAATTTTCCCTGACTAGCTGTGTTTAAACTCTGCTATTACGCACTACTTTCAGTAATTGCCTTGCTATTCGCAACCCTATATCGTAATTCAGTCGGTTAAATGGAGGAGACTTGGTGACGGCTTTTCCTCCTCTATTCACTCTTGGGAATCCGATGCTACATCACGTAGCCAAGCACGAAGATTTCTTTTTAGTGACAGCCTTGAGCTTAACAATACTATGGTGATGATTTCAAGGATGACAAGGCAGGGTCAGATAAATAAAATGGTTGAGAAAGTGATGTTTGGCGTATCGAAGTAAGCTTCAATTATTCAAGCTGCATGATGGAAATAGCCAAATAGGTATCGGAGCAAGATACACCCCAAGGCAATTGCCTAAATCGGCAATACTATCGACAAGATGCAATACTAAACAGTAAGTAAAAGATGCTTTATTTTGTCCAAAACAATAGAATTTGATGACGTCACATTGTTGAACCCATATGGAGGTCGAATGACAGCCAGTCCATTCGCAACTGAAAGAGCAGGAGCTACTTGTACATGGCCATCATTTGGAGCTGCATCGATAATTGCCACAGGCACGTGACAATTGGCGAAGTGCTGCTGTAGTCTGGCCATCCGTTCTTTAAGTGCAGATGTACCCAATTCAGGACTATCCACAGAATCTTCTTGACATTTGGTAGGGATTAAAGATTCCGTTTCGAAATCTTCCCATGAGTTAGGAGTTGAAAATGCCTCTCCTAAAAGCTCAGTAAACTTTGATAGCATTTCTGGGGGAAACTCGCCATCTAAAACCTGAAAAATGATGCTAAAATTAATAGAGCAAATTGGGGACCATTACGCATTTCGTAATGCGTCTTAAACGGAAGCAAAATGTTCCTGGCTCAAAAATTTCTATTATTTCCTTCGGATAGAAATCATTCAAAAGGTTTAATCACAATGTAAACGCTAATTTCTAGGTAAAGAAGTTCTAAGTATTCTCAAACATTCTACTTGAATAAACGAATACGTGATACAATCATTCTAATCCTATTCTATCCTACTCTCTATTAATACTTAAAATGTCTATTATATATACACGTGGTCTTGGAGATGAGCATAAGTACAAAGGAGACAACTTTGAGAATATATCTGGACGCTCTACTCCAACAAATGAAAGAGCTTAGCAAAGTATAGATAAAAAATACCCAGGCATCAATTCAACAGAAGCAATAAAGAACTGCTTTTCTCAAGTGTCTAAATTCTGTCATAAATAAATCGTCTATTCAATAGATCCTGTCCAATTAAATTAAAAGTATGCTCATTCTCGCCTTAGACCTCATTTATCAAGCAACTGTATTCCATGACGTGTCACTTGTAAATGTATGTTGCCCCATCATCTCATTGATAAAGCAATATAAATTGGCTATTAAGAAAAAGGACTATAAAACT